AAGTCTCTAAACTTCTCTTTCCTTCCTAACAAGACCTAACAATACTTACCTAGCTGATAAGGCATTTGTAAAGAGCAAGTGAGTTGCTGCAGGGTAAGTGCCACAGTAGCCAGTAAAGAACTATAAAAATGTTGATTTTATTAACAGATTTTCTTTTAATGTTTTTCCCCTTCAAGGTAGGCCTCATGTTTACTTTAGCCAGACTCTAATGATGTAAATATGTGGGTGGTAAGGAGTAGGCAGTCCCGAGACTCAGTGTTAATTGGGTATTGTGAGTGAAGGGTGAGGATGAGAAGGCCGGAGGTGAGGTCAGGCTAGCAAGGCTTAGGGAAGAAGATTTGAGCCCCTGCCCTTTCTTCTTCCCAATTTCTTTCCTTTTTTTTTTTACATTGTTATTGTTAATCCTCACCCTAGGATGTTGTTTCCATTGATTTTTAAATTTATTTTATGTTATTATTTTATTTTATGAGTGAGTAGAAGGGAGGGAAGAGAGGGAAGGAGAGAGAGAGAAACATCAATGTGAGACACATCCACTGGTTGAACCTGCAACCCAGGTACATGCGCTTGACCAGAAACAAGCTCTCCACCCTTCAGTGCACCGGTCGATGCTCTAACCACTGAGCAACACCTGCCAGGGGTCTTCTTCCCAATTTCTTTCTTTTTTAAAAATTAAATTTATTGGGATGACAATGGATGATCTTCTGTGGGAGTCATCTGCCTCCATTTTACAACACAGAGACTGAGGCTCAAGTGCACAACTAGCAATTGGTGGAGCTTGGGTTCACACCCTAATCTGTCTGACTTCCAAGACAGCGCACTTAATTAACCACTACTCAAACTGCCTTCCAGTGTCACAGGAGCATAATTGTTTACCAGGTTCTCTTCCACTAGATTGCACACTTCTTGTTAAATACTCTATTGCACACTTCCAGCACATACCTGGCACACAGTAGATGCTCAGGAAATGTCTATGAAAGAAAGGCAGATAGGTGGGGCAGGAAACATACCCTTGCTTGCTAAATTCTGGTCTGGGAATCAGGACGCCTTTGGACCTTTGACAAATGCCTTGTCCTTTCTGAGCCAAGGCGGGGTGGGGGAAGGGTTAGAATCCGAGACTTCTTCCCACCCCCGCTCTTGCCTCAGCGCAGACAGCTCTGCCATTGTCCCCGCGCTCTGCCCTCAGGCCCAGGCCCTGAGTGTAGTTAGGCTGAGTTGCTGAGCAGCTCACTTCTGCCACTTGGTGGTTTTGAGCTGCCTTGCTCAATCTTTCTCCGGAGCCGCGGATCTAAGGATCTTATCTGAAAGAATCTAACAGCAATTTGCATACTGCCCTTCGCTCCCAAGGGTTCATCTTTCTCTGGAATCCCTTGCCGGTCGCAGCACACATCGACGTTCCTGCTATAACAACATACGGAGTTGATTTGGCTGGAGTTAAGACCCTTAAAGATTCTAAGTTCTGAAAAGGTTATGGTGCATATCCCCACCATAAGGACTTCCAGACAAAATGCTAAAAGTAAGGATGTGCTACAAAAGTCTGATTTCTCTTACAGTGACTACTATAACTTTTATTTTTTTAAATAGGAAATAAATTATTTATCTCAAACTTTCCGTTTGTTTTAGTGCCCCTGCTTTGCAGCCCTGAGCTCTAAGCACTACACACCATTGACCCCGCTTTGGAAAGGAGAATTTTCCTAACTTAAGCCTATGGGTTACTTGAGGGCCAGAATTCTTGTATTTTATAAGTTTGTGTCTTTCCTGGGACCCCACAGTATCTGAAGGTAATGGAAGCTAATAATCAATGTTTGTTTTTTGGTCTTTACCTGAAATGAGGTCCTGGCTAGCCTTTCATTAAGGTCCTTGGGAGCCTATCTCTACCTATCACAGCCTTGCTAGGTGCCTAATGCCTACCTACCTATCTCTCCGCATCTTTAGTTTTTCTCTTTGCAAGTCAGAACTCCTCTCCCCCTCTAAGAAACCTGATTTCAGTTCCAAGAAAGGATTTCAAACCACAGAACTTTAGCGCTGGAAGGAACCAAATACTAAGAACGACCTCTACCATTTTTTGAATCCTGTTTTTCCCCCAAATGGGTTTATTAAAAATAACCATTTTGAATTTTCTCAAATGTCTTCTTTGCATGTATTGAATTGATAATGTGATTTTTCTTGTTGAACATATTAACATGCTCCTCATTAATGAATTCTATTATTTTTAAAAACCCATTCTAGCATTCCTGAGGTAAATAAAAAAGGAACCTTAGACGTCATGGATGTCAGTGATTCTCAATTAGATGGAGCCAAATTCATTTATTTTGAGGTGAGGAAACATAGGCACTGAGAGGTAAAGCGTGGGTTCTACATGTGTTCAAATATCGTCCCTAGTTTTTTTCATGTATATATTTTCCCTAGCCAGGCTGTTAAGATCCCAAAGAGCAAGCACTGAGGATCCTCTGTAGCATTTTCTCTATAGTATTTCACCTAGCAGAGCACTCAATAAATTCTATTGACAACTAGATTGATTAATAGGCTTTTATACTGGAGCTAGAACAAGCACTTGCAGGCTAAATAAGAATATGGCCCTGGCTGGTGTGGCTCAGTCGGCGAACTCAGTGATCACGGGCACATGTCCAGGTTTCTGGCTCAATCCCCAGTAGGGGGTGTGCAGGAGGCAGCCAATCAATGTTTCTCTCAAGGATGTTTCTCTCTCTAGCTCCCTCACCCTTCCTCTCTCTCAAATCAATAAAATCATATTAAAAATTAATAGAAAAATGGAAGACTATGGTTATGCCAAATAAAGAACTTATAGTTAGAGAGGTAAACCATTAAACAAATGAGAAAAAAATGGCTTGAGGCAAACACTCCCCAGATGAGCTTGAGAAAGAGGAGAATATACCTTCTAATTAGGGCACAAGATCCAGGAAAGAACACAATGACGTTTGGCCAGACAGATTAGCTTTGGTTCTTCTTAAGATTACCATATTCTCTTTTCCCTCTATCCCAGATTTTCCAGAACTTCACAATTTCAAACATTTCCCCTAAACCAGTGAGATGTTCCAGAAAAGAGCAGACTATGTATCTCTATCCTCAGCTTTTCCAAAGCTCTGTCTCATATTCATATTGTATCCATGCCCAAGTCTGCACCCTTCCCAGCAAAGGACAAACATGTGGGATGTAAGAATTAGGCCCTGTACTGGAAAGAAAGTGAGCAGAAGGGGATAAGGTTCAGGAATGGACTGGGCTGGGGGCACAATCCCCATGCTCTTCTTTTCAACCACTCTGGCTGAGATAGGAGGGAGCAGTGGTGAGGGGTGGAGGGCAAGCTGTCACCAGTGAGGCAACAGGTGCCCAGGTGCCCAGGCTCCTGGAGCTCCATGAAGCTGCATATTCTTGCTGGTTCTTTGTCCCATGGCTACAATGAGTGAGCCCACTGGACACCATATGCATCTTCTCAAAGGAATTTGGAAGCAACTAGAAAGTGCTCTGAGGGTACCATCCCAGACTTGCACTACCCTAGTTGGTTTCCACGATTTTGGAAGGTGGGGTCAGGCCTGAGAGCCATTCAGAAGTGGGATGGGGTGGTGGGTGTTGTCTGGCAGGACACAGGCAGCCTTAGATGTCTCTGTCTGTCTTCTCACACTGTTAACTAAGGTGTCCCTGCTGTCCTACTCCTGTATTCTTGGATTTCTAAGATTTCCTTAGCTGACAAGGAAGGCCCAGGGCCCAAGGAGACTTTAGAGGGGTAAGGGACTGGATAAAGAGAGAGAGAAAGAGAAAGTGTGTGGTCATCCATGTGTTTGTTGAATGTATTTATGTGACTTTGTATGTCTTCTTCTAAAACCTGGCTCCTGTGGTTCATGTGTGTCGCCATGAATGCCCATGGGTGTGTGACTGTGGCATGTGGTGTGTGCCTTTGTGTGTCAGAGTAGGGGCTCCCTGTGGAGAGCACATGTTGGGAGGGGGTGATTGTAAGAGCCAGGCTCCCTCTCTTCCTCCCCCATCCCTGCTCCCATCTGGCCTTGATCAGCCGATCCCTGGGGAGGGAGCCGCGGTTTCGGATATAGGAAAATGTTCCAGGAAGCGGCCACTGTGCTGGGCCCTGCTCCTGCTCCCCCAGCGGAAATTGTTCCAGGAGGAGGAGGGAAGGGAGTGTCGAGATAGGATTAAGGGAGGGGGGGTGACTCTTGGCTCTTCTGTCCACAAGATAAAGCAGGATAAGTTGATGGGAAGCTCAGGTCAGCCAGCAACCTGGATGCTGCTACCTAAATCATTTAATGCAGGAAAATTAAGAGATTTCTTCTTATCTGGTTCACTCTCTATTGAAGTTTAAGGATTGGGATCTGGGTAGCCCCCAGGGGTCCCTTTTCTGTCCCTGCTAGCGGGTACCCAAGATGAGAAGCAGGACACCTGGGTCTTGTCTGAAAGTGGTGTGGCTT